GTACCCAAATAGTATATATTTCGGCCCAAGGGACTTTTTGCGGCCGCCTGAAGTATGTACAAAAGCCTACCCTGAGTCACCTTCACATGCCCTGACCTTGCTTCATTTTGGGAAGTTTACACTTCTGGGTTAGGGCTTTAAACCTTGGGGTGCAGGGTTCAGGGTTGCAGTTGTATTGTGCGCAGATCAGGTGTTGAAAGTGAGGATTTCGGGCTCATGAACACACGCAGACCCTAGTAAGCCCAAGCTCGAGCCACCAACATTCAAAGAACCCTATAGAGCCCTACTGCGGGTCCCTTGCGGAGAAGGAGGCAAACTACCTAAACCCTGAACCCCGCGTTGAGGGAGTATGTGAGTCGAATACCTACAACCCCAAGAACTTGAATCTTCGTGTTCTAGGTCATGCCTCGTCGATTTGAGCTCGCTGCCGCGGTCAACCGCCTCCGCACGGTGCAGCGGGGGCGCCCAGAATGACTACAGCCGCTTTCGTTTCTCGAAATTTTGTAAGCACACAAGCATCTAAGGAATAGATATTACGGATTTGGGAATTCAAGGTTTGAGATTTCCGCTACTTAACTTGTCATGCTTTCCTCGGCTGTGAGACCTTCCGCTGTGTAACGTGGAGCTATCGCGGTGGACACACACAAAGCCGGATGAAAGCTGGCCCTCAGCTACTAATGAGCATAAATAATTACCTGTACTATGTTTTTTTTTTTTTTTTTNNAAACCGTATTCTAACTATTAAGGCCCTTATATTAGTTCCCGGCAGCAAGGAGACCAGGATGCAAAAAACGGGGGTAGACGATGTCAGATGGGAAGTTAAGGTTTAGTTTAGGGTTTAGGAGGTGGGGTTTTGTTGTTAGGAAATTCATGGCAGGTGGACTTCTTTGTAGGGACTACCGGCATATGTAGAACTGGAAAGGATTACATCTAGGACTGCTTTGCCTTGTCATTCCATATCTCTGGTCCGATTCCGAACTTCGGGCAGAACGTTCGAGAAGCACACTCTGACTGCTGGTGGCTGAACCTAGCCCCACCTCCTTATTATCATAGCATGATACCCCAAAACCCTATTCTAATTATTAAAGGCCCTTACATGAGTTCCCGGCAGCAAAGAGACCAGGATTGAACCTGGCCGAAACCCCATCGTTCCGGTCCAGTCCGTATCGTTGCTTTCCAGTCGGAATCGTTGAAGTCCAACCGTTTGCTACAGGGTCGGAACTAAAGTCAACGTATTCCCGTACGTCCCGTGTTTCTAGCCCGTCTATAGCTGCGGTATTGCCGCATATAACACTTAATATACCCCTAAAGTCCACTGTTCTCATCATGAATACATAGATCACAAGCCCACAAGGTCTCACTAGGATGCTCCTTCCCGAAGCTGTCCAGGATGGTCGCCGACAGCAGCAATGGTGACAACACCGCCTGGTGATGGGGAGTTTTGGGGTTTAGGGATCTTAGAGTTTAGGGTGCGTCTACACCTGTTGGCGAACATGAACAGCTTGTCCAGGCGAGAACCCACGAGCCTGCTGCAAAAAGGGATTTTGGGGTATTTAGGGTTTAGAGTTTTGCGGTTTAGGGCTTCGGGATCTTAGCTGCGGTCCACTTGCTGCCGTAGTCCCTGCTGAGTCTGCGAGGTGTGCGAGCAAAAGGGATTCGGCGAACTGGGAGCTGCAGCTTTCAAATTTTAGGGATGTAGGGTTTAGGGTTTAGGGTTTGTGTGCTACGAGGGACATTGGCCGGGCGAGCTCCTATCAAGCCTGTGTAAAAAGGGTTTAGGTGTTACAAACCCTGCATGTAATACCCAATATGACCGGAACTCCGAAACCCCAAACCATCCCAAACCCCTTGTTGGTCCCCTTCCCGGTGCTGTCATGATCTTCTTGGGTATGTATAACCCTGCCATAATGAAAAGGGTATTCACATTATAGGGACTGGGATTCTCAGCCCGCAAGGTGGGGGATTTCATACCCCAAAACCCAATTCTTAATTCGTAAGGCCCCTACATTAAGTTTCGGCTCTTCAGATGTTTGCTGCGGGGGCGAAAAACCGGAGCCCTAGAGCCTACTTAGTCCAGGCCCTCGTTCGTAGTCCCATTTTACGGCTGCCTTGGATTAAGATGTGGAGTTTCCGAAAATTAGGGTACCCTATTCTGGGGTCCTTATAATAAGGATCCTACTATTTAGTGTACTATATTAGGGTCCCCTTTTTTCTGAACCCCCCATGTCATGCGTTCCATGCCCAAGCCCAAGGCTTCAACAGTAACATCGCAACCATGAAGCGTGGAAGCCAAGTCAGGAATCAAATTGGACAGCGTGGTCATGCCATAAACGAGGCTGAAACGGCCTAAAGTAGATCTCGATGTGTGGGTCGGGACTTGTGCCGGAGGCATGGGCACCTCCGAGACAGCTCATGGTCACAGCCTTCGGCGCCCAGCTTGAGGATTCAGTTGATTCTAGTCTCGGCGTTAGAAGTACTGTGTCCGTTTGCCGTGTGCAGCATCGTGTTTCGGTTGAGCTGGTATAAGCTTCCCGATGCGTAGGTTCGTCTTGAGATCCGAGACGCTTGCTCCGTGGCTTACTATCCTTGCATCCTATCGGTGGTGCAATTTCGGCGAACCTGCCACGACGCTCAGTCTGACTCCCGCCTCGTAAGCCCTGAGCCCTACCGTAGCCGCCCCTAAACCCTAAACCCTAAACCCCGAACCTTTCATTGTGAGTTGGGGGTATGGCTTGAGGTTTATGGGTTTTCTGCTTGGTTACTTAAGAAGCTTTGACTTGGGCCCAGCAGTGTGCTGAAGCAACACAACTAAATCTTGGTTGAGTTGTCCCAAGTATTGCATCCTCAGTACTTTGCAAAGAAGACCTCGCCGTAAGCATAGTTCTCAACAATGCGAGAGGGAAAAAAGCCCTGAACCCTACCGTAGCCGCCGCAGTAACATCGAAGGTGTTCGAACCAAAGCCCCGACAGCACAAGTGCGCGCTTGGCACACGACTGTAAATGCTGACCCTACCCTTTCGACTGAGATTCCTCGTTCTACCATAGGGGCCTAAATAATTACCCATACTATTCTGGGGGGTTCCTTATTATCTTTATAGTAAAATGGGCCCCAAACCCTATTCTAATTATAAAGCCCCTATATTACGTGGTGCCCCCAGTCCACAGTGCAAGGACCCCATGTCAGGGGATTCAGGCTCGTAGGATCAGGCAGGGTGCGTCTCGACCCTCCGAGGTTGAATCGTAAATAATGCGAGTGACCTTTTTTATATGTTTTCCATAGCAATTGCATGTCTAGAGATAGCAATGAGATGAAAGCAGCTAATTCCCGGCCCAGGTGACCATCATCCAGCACTGCTGGATTGTGAGGGGTCGGGCAGCTTAGATGGTTAGGCTTCCGAGGTTCTTTGCAGGGCACTGTTGGATGCAGATTTGAAATAGGTTGGCGGCTTTGGGGCTGAGATATTGAGCCCCTGCGGCCTGAAGACAGAAGAGAACCCCTTACTACTGCAGGGTTTCTGGCGTTGGGCTTAGGATTGAGATGGGTTCAGCGAAGAGCCGTTGTTCACGGGGGAGCAGACCATGACTCGAAACTTCGCGCACCCAGGTGCACAGCTACCAGTAGCTTCTTAAAACCATTTGGCTTGGTTGCCCTTGGGCACATGAAAGTCGAAGTTGGTTCACTGCTTCAGATTCAAAGCCTGTGCCAGACGGGGGAAAGTGTAATACTAGTAGGAATCATATTAATAACAATAGCAACAACAGTAACATACTAGTAGCAACAATCGTAATAATAGCTCGCCGGTGCAACAAGCACCACTCAGGCTCCTGCAGGCAGCTGCCACGAAAGTGGGAACCGAACTCAGATATGCGGATTCAACGCATGTTGCTGCCACCCTTGCGGCCTAGAACCCTGCGGGAGATAAATCCGCTGCATGTGCGGTTTAAGGCTCAGGTATACCGGCCATGGGCCAACAACTGGAAGTAGCCTCAAGCTTATCCGTCTCATCCCCTGATACCGTTATAGGCAAACAAGCATTGTACAAATCACCTAATGGTCTTTGACTGATTGATCCATGCTAGCAAATTGCGAGATAGTTCGATATTTTTATATATATATATATATGTATGTATATATATATATATCTATGATATGTCAGTGTCAGATTCTCAACACCAGTGGCCGACCAGAGAAGCCTGAGAGTGGAAAGGGTTCGACTCTGTGCTTTCTGTCTTGAAGGATTCAGAACGCCGACTTCTTCATGTTCCATAGGTTGCCCGGGCACATCTGGCTGTGCCCCGACCCAGGCATGCTTCCACTCGAGGTGGCTCGCGCCGGAGGCATCGCAGTCGTGCGGAATCTAGATGATGTTTTGGCATATTTCCTTGCCGCATCTCGTGCGTAGAACTCACTGGAAGTTGCAGCTTGTTTGCTGTTGTGTGCCTGAGATGGTTCTTTCCACATGTGCAGAGATTGCATGGCATATTTCAGGACTTAAGTCCACAGCCACCCCTGAGCTCGCAAGCACCTTGTGACTCTACGTCCAGACTTCGTCGAACGCCCCAAAGCACCTTGTGCAAGTACCGGTCCGCCTGCATGTCCTTACAAACCAGAAGACTGGAAAACCGAAACATAGGGTGAAGGGTTTAGGGCCGACCGAAATGCATAATAATCATGGCATGGTCGTAGTCATTATGCATCCCGTTCCCTACCACCCCAACCCAAATACCTCTACGCCATGGCTGGCCGTGCTTCCCGACAGCTGGCGCAAATTCAGGTCACGGTTGTGCACTGGCTGAGGATGACAAGTTTGGGATAGTTCGGCATGGCGCGGGCTTCTGCCGGGGAAGTTTAGGCAGCATAGCTTTAGGGTTTCAAGGTTCAGGGTTCGAAGCATCGATGTGCTGCTTTCGGGCTTTGCAGCAGATACCCCGTGCTCATGCTCCAGCCACCACGACGGCGACGACGACTACCACTCGGCTGCCACACCCACTTACTACCACCTACATCCACCTACTACTTGCTACACATGAAAATTTTCTGCTAGATCGTCGACTGGGCCAGTTGCCCCGCGGAGCTGCTACAGGTGTGTACGACAACTCTGGCCCCAACTGCGACGACCACCTTTGCTACGTCACATCGACAGTACTTGTTCATCAGGGTACCATCACCGGCTGCAACATTCCTCGCCGCAGAGCCAGCCATCCTAATACCCAACAGCGTGGAACGCAAGGCCCTCTAGGATTTCTCATAGTTACTTACATTCCTCATTTCTTCCCTTGTCAACCTGAGGTCGGTAACACATGAACCTGACACCGAGACCCCTAAATATTTTCCATTGTCCATATCTTCAACCTACACTAAAATACCAGTCCTTAACCCTTCACCCTGCTAAACCTTAACCGGTGTTTCCCAGACAGGCCGGCCTAGCGCGCGCCGCGGCACCACGCCTGCCGGGCGATCGGCGGGCAGTGGTGGCCTGCCTCTGTGCTTCAATGGTGTGGGAGAAGAAGGTATACACGTGAACTGCGTTTACATGTTATAATGTTCTGTATTATGTATGTGTGCATGTATGTACTTGTGCATGCTTGCATGCTTGCATGCTTGCATGCTTGCATGCTTGCATGCATGTGTACGTATTTCTGTCCGTTTGTCTGTCTGCATATCTGCCTGCCTGTCTGTCTGTCTGTCTTTTTGCCGTCTGCCTGTCTATCTCTCTGTCTATCCGTCTGTTTGTCTGTCTCTCAGTCTGTCTGTGTTTCTGTCTGTCTATCCGTCGGTCTGTATGTCTGCCTGCCTGACTGCATGCCTGCCTGTCTGTGTTTCTGTATGTCTGTCTGTCTGTCTGTCTGTCTGTCTGTCTGTCTGTCTGTCTATTTGTTTGCCTATCCGTCTGTCTGCCTGCCTTGCTGGCTGTCTGTCTGTCCGTTTGCGCCGTGCTTCTGTTTCTGAAGTTTGAAGCATCAAACCACGTTCCAAGATCTAAGCTCATAGATCCCAACCCCGTCCGAGTTTTCAAACCATATTAAAGGCCTGGTGTCGCCCACCTTGAACATGTTCAAAGACCCCTGTATCACTTTAACTGCAGGTCTAGAGTCTTGAGCCAAGATCACAGGGACATCAAGACTCGGACTCTCGTTTGCTCTGAGAACCTTTCGTATTCAAGCTGCACACAACTGCCGATCGCAACTCCCATTGTGTTGGTATATAAGGCTGGTGAGAAGAGTTGTCTAAGGCCCATCCCTAGTAGCCCTAGCATACTCCAGAACAGTACGAGTTCTAAACAGTTCAGTAGCAACAGCCATGTACCCGAAGCACTCAGGCCAAAACTAAAGCAGCATATGTCCTCAGACCCCAAAACTGCGAGGCCTTCTTCGACAGGGAGGGCCGGAGAGCTCCCCGGCAACATGAGGCCTTCAAGGCGTGAGTTCTTCTTCGTGTTGCTTATCCGGTGAATAAAAGTAACTGGAAGCCTGCTCAGAAGTCGTAGCGGCCCAAGCAATTGTAACATGTTTGTGGGCTATATCACAGCGTATACAATATCTCTTGAAAGAGATATGAATCGTATGAACATAATTTCTTCAGACTGAGGAGACTGCGCGGAGAGGGAGGGAACGAGCCTCTGAGGACGCAGAAGCGTCCTCTGCCTGTAGAATCTGAATCTGAATGGGGCTCTAATTCTGGTAAGGAGGATGGTGATGATAATAGGACAAGGTGTGTGTGTGTGTGTGTGATCACGGTAGCAGCAAAATGTTTTTTCTGGCTAGTTTAAGTTCTTCCGACTATCAAGTAGCAGTGGACCGTGCTGACGGTGATCTTGTCTATAAGGTGTTGATGTCTTCTTCATACTACGAGCCCTCTCTCCGGCTACCTCGGGTGCGGCGGCACGCTGGTCTGGACAGGCACGGACACGTGGTAAGTTTCAGTCAATCCGCTCCTGGTGCTCTTCCATTCGCCTTTGTAGGTGGCTTCGCAAGTCTGTCCTTACTGCGGGGCTCGTGTGCACCGTCAAACACTACCCTAAAACCGAAAGCCCTCAAAACTGAAATGCCCCCTTGCAAAAAACACTCGTCATGCAGTTGTTTCCCTGACCCACACCCTGGCCCCTGAACTTTCATCTTGCACACTGAGAGAACGCACCCGGAAGCCTAGACCCAAACCTTAAACCCAACACACCCAAATCCTTTCAACAGAGTACGTAATAGTCCGTCAGTTATGAAGGGAATCCTTGCTTCAAAGAGCAAGAACCCGTGGCAAGGGCCCCATGAGTTGAGAATACCGGAGTCTCTTGGAACCCCCTCCAAAATCTGGTCGGAAAACCATCAACCCTTACCCATACTCAATGGGCGGCTAGAACCCTCAACCCGCAAACCCCAAGGCCAATGCCCTAAGCCCTAGAACCCAAACCCCAAAACCCACAAGCCCTAGAGCCCAAAACCCCTAGCCCTAGAACCCCTAAACCCCAAATCCCATAAGCCCTAGAACCCCTTTTTTGGCATCCGGTCTGCAGCGACTCTACCGGGAAAGACATGGCACAGGACAAAAGCCACGCCATAGGGATGCATGCCGAGCGACTGAATTAAGTCGTTGCTGACTATCGTCTCTTCGGCGAGCCTTCAACGCAGCACGATCGCCCTTGAACCCCCAGACCCCAAAACCCATAACCCCTAGAGCCCCAAACCCTCTTCTCGAAGAGGTGGGCTTCCCGGGTGGCCATGCGGAACAAGGGGAGGAAGATCACGAGGCTTGCGGCGGAGGGCCTGGGTGTTGCAGTGTAGAGTTCAGGGCTTAGGAGGGTTTAGGGCTGAGAGTTCAGGGTTCAGGGTTTTAGGGTTTAGGGTTCAGGGCTTGGGAGAGTGTAGGGTCTAAGGTTTAGAGCTCACGGCTTAAGAGGGCTTAAGGTTCAGGGCTTTTGCCTTATGAGGGGGTGAGGGTTGCGTAGGCGCTGGCCGGCACCTCAGTCCGTGCTGACACGGGTTCAGTGCTTAGGAGAGGTTCGGTCAGTTTAGGGTTGGGCTCGGGCAGTTTGGCATTCTGGTTCATGTTGATGTAGGGGCCTTAATAATTACCTATACTAGTGTGGGGGCTCCTTATGATAATTCTAGTATCATGGGCCCCATAACCCTATTCTAACCATACTAAGGCCCCTGTATGAGGCTTTGGGAGTCTTGGTCAGTACTTGGGATGCTCAGGGAGGGCACCCTTTCAGCCTTCGGAGGTGTTGTTGGGAGTTTTCAGGAGAAGGGAGACAGCAGACTTAGCTCTTAAGTGTCTCTTGATCACGGCATGTACCCAAAACCCTAAACCCCAAACCCCAATAAAACCTAAAACTTATACCCTGTACTAGAACTTCGTGGGTTTTCTGGAACTTCCATTCATCACGGCCATAGAAGCCCTCGTGGCCCGAAGCCATCCAACAGAGATCCAATATTCTACTATACCATACTATTTTATTACATACCCGTTCCATAAATAGTACCAGATTATCACCATGTTATAACTATACTATTACATACGAACTACATAAAAAAAACTAAAATTACAACCATAGCATCTTAGGCTCCTATATTAGACCTCCCTAGTTTTGAACGAGCCCAACGGACTGCGAAAGGCGGCTAGCCGAGAGTGTCGCGAGGAAGTCGGCCTCTACCTCGCACCTTGACTGTCATCTCCCTCTCCATCTTGTACTATGATTATAATCAGCTCTGCTATTTGATATTATACGATACCATCTGTTATAGTACACTGTATTACTATCTAACATTACATTATCTCTCTCTCTCTCTCTCTTTCTGTCTCTGGCTCTTTCGCGCTCTCGTGAGCTCGTTGGCGGGCGTGTAGAATCAGACATGCAAAGCAAGGTTGATCCGATTACACGCAGCAGGACGCAGCAGCAAATCCGCCAGCAGATGTTTGTGTTTACAAACTCACGAACAAGATCATAAGCATGACCTGCATACATCGTATGTGAAACCCCAATAAGCCCTTAAAGCCCTGAAGCCTAAAGCCTATGCAGCCCCTCGCTCCAAGCAGCGCCTGACGCCCCAAGCCGAGGATCGACCGGGAGCGTATCGATTCTTAGGCAGCGCCTCGGAAGCTTGTTCTGCCGCAGCACTGGCGTAGGTGCCATACCAAACGGTTCAAGGTTTAGGGTAGGGCCTTCAAAATAGCCAGGCGCGACATGCAAGCCTGATGTAAAAAGGGTTTGTGGGCTTTGGGGCAAAGCAAAAGTAACGTAGCCTGAAAATATCCTCGTTTGTCAAGTGCTCATGTTCTGTGGATGTCGATCACGTACATGTCCAGAAAGCTCAGCAAGTAGGGTCGAGATTCATAACAGCCT